TCCTCTGACTGCTGCAAGCTGAAAAAGACACTCTTCCCATGCAACCATGCTCCCAGGTTCCAGCTTTCCATCCTGATTTTCACAGTGCCCCCAGCCTCCAGATCTCATTCCAGAGAAAAAGGAAAGCAAAGCTTCCCAGAAATGCCCAGCATACTTTCACTGCTGTTTCACTGACCAAAAGTGCCCACCCCTACCTATAAGGGTAGCTAGAACTTTGGCTCTTTAGGTAGCCATTTGTTTCTTCAAACAAAATCATTCAAAGAGGGAAGAATAGATATTAGCTAGGCAAACAGCTGTTGCTATCTGCCACATGTATAGTTTCCATTTTATATTTTCTTGGTATTATTCCAGAGTCTCTGCTAGGTTAATTCATGTGATATGCTTATGAACTCTTATGAAATGGTGATAGAAATTATTCATTAAATGCTAAAGTGATGTATGTAAAGATGTCATATTAAAATCCTTGTTACATATTTCTACAGGTTCTTAAGTAATAGATACACTGAATAGACTTTGAAACAATATAAAATTTAAAGGGATCATCGCTATGAAATGACTGCAGCCAAATACACTAACCTCTTCCCCTGCCATGGATTTAAGTAGGCACTTGGAAGAAAACCACTTTTAAGATCATCTTGTAGCTTAAGTTTATGCAAATGCCACTATACACACACAAAGCATCCCAACACCAACATAGTGTTTCAGCTCCTGTTCTGTAACAATGCAGTTGGTACATGTCGATTGTTATTACGAACCCTTACCTTGAACCGCTGGTGCAGTGCGTTTCTTAACTATATAGAGGGATTACAGAGATGCAGACCATTTGTTACTGTGAAGATGCGACAAACAGAGTTGTTTCTGTCTGTGTGCCCTGGAGGGGTGTGGATGTTACACATGTGTGTGTGTGTTTCTCTGTCAATCTCTCACTCTCTGTCTCTCTCACAGACTCACACACAGCCATATGTATAAGTATTTTTTAGTATAAAATACTCTCTGTAACCAGATATTTATCTTCAGAATAATCACACCACATTAATCAGTCTTCTCTTTTCAGCCCTAGTAAAAGTTTTGTTTAATTCTAAGATGCCATCATAGTGAATGAACAACCTTAACTTTTATGCTACAATTTCACACACACACACACACACACACACACACACACACACACACACACACACAC